AAGCCAAGGGATTTGATCATAAGGATGGGGTTTTCTTATGCTAGCTTAATCACAGCACAGATTCTTTCATATGGCTGTGAGTAGTGGTCCTTGCAAAGACAAGATCTTCCAGGAAGAAAATCCCTCTCATTAAACTTTGCCATATTACATGTTGTAGCTAGTGACTGCATAGTCATACACCTGATTTTGACTGCTGATCTTGAGTTTGAACAAGCACTATTTAATCACACAAACTAATTCCACAGAAACTGAAAATGGAGAAAAAACCCCATATTAACTGGATATTTACTAATTATTATAAAATCGTATAAATCCACACAAGGCATCTGTTTATTACATGCCATGTATATCATGTATATGTGTGCAATAATATATGTGTAATAAAAGTAGATTTAAAGTTATCTATCTACATATGGAGAGGGAAAAGTACTGAATATGTATATATTGGATGTATTGGTTATATTCTCATAGGATAGACGTATGAAAAATATTTTGGTAGGACATCATCTGCAGCAAATATATGCTGATGGTTGAATGTTAACACATTTTTAGATAGAATATGGAGACAGATGCTTAGCTACTGTGAATGGATACAGCTCCACTGAATACTGAGGGCAGTACTGCAAACATTGTTTTACACCGAATAGTATTTTGATTGTCTACAATGCATTTTGCCAGCAGAACAGCGACTTGTATTGTTCCAAAATAACCAGCCAGGCCCCTATTACTAGAGTAGGCCATCTCAATCCAAGAGGTGTTAGCTAAACTGCACTAATGTACCTATTTTTGATTTACAGGTGATGTCAGCCCCCTGTAGATCACATGACATGCAAATCCCCATGCAGGAAACCTGTGGTTGGACTCTTCATGGAATTCAGATTCAGATCTCAGGCCTCTTCACAAGCTCATTGTTCGGATACTTCCTTGATGATACAGTAATATTTTATATTATATTTATAATATAATATTTATAAATATTTTATAAAGCTTATGCAAATCACTGGAAAACTGTTGATCACAGTACTTGGGAACATGCAGCAGTGCTGCAGTCAGTGCACAACAGCTAGACTCCAGTGGTTGTTTTAATCTTGTTTAAACTATTCTCTCAGCAGGTAACTGTGAGACGTAAATTATCTACTACCTGCCAGCAAGGTGCTTGTACTGTAGAAGGTTTTTATGTTACTCAGGAACACATTATATCCAGCTTTGGAGACTCAGTGAAAGAAACGACAGTGTTCTTAACAGTAGGGCCTCTTAAATGTAAAGGGGCATGCAGACTCAGACTTAAAAAAAGCAATAAAAACTGTAATGGAAAATATCTAGGAGGAAATATCTGGAAAATATCTGTACTCAACTTTTAACTGACTCTTGTAGTACTGGCTGTTTTTTTTTCTCTCATATATAAAGAGCATCTGTCTACCTGTGGTCCAAAAGTACTTTTATTCTAGAATGAAGGAAACAACAACCATAAAGTATAAAAGTAAAATTCCCATGAATGTACGCAGCATGTGTGTATTTTTTCTTTGTGCTGTGCAAGGTCTGTACAAAGTCTACCATCCTTCTAGATCTCTGAAATGTAAAGGAGTATGATGTAGGAAATGGAGGCCCTGAGTTATATGCTGCATACAGCACTGTTGCAGAGCATTGCCATTAAAGCATTCACACTGAACTCCATCCCAGCTTGCCTCCATGCCATTCCCATTGACTACAGTGAGCAAACCAGGAGAAAAGCATAAATATATCATGGCTTGAATGACAGACAACTGTCCCTTGGGACTCATGATGTATTTAAAAATAGCGTTAAAAAGAGTCCATGCAAAAGTATGGAACGTGTGACCTAAAAACCAATACTTTATGTAACAGATGCACCTTCGTAGCCATTATTATGGTGGCTAATGGTATTCCATGGAACTTGTTAGTTGATGTGTATGGATATGCTGCATCTGCAGCCCTGCTGTCAGGTGCTGAGGAGGCTGCAGGAGTGGAAAGCTGCCTTCAGGCTCTCCCTTCTGACAGACATCAGCTGGAGAAAAGCAATGTACAGCTGTGCTTCTTCTCTGAGACCACTCCTATGTAAAGTCCTACAGGGGCTGGTCCTGTCTCTTTTCCTTTTCATCATATGCTGAAGAGCTGTAGGAAAGGTCATGAGGAGCCGAGGGCTACGATACCATCAATCTGTTGATGGCAACCAGCTCGTATGTCTCTTTTTCAGCTGATGCAATCAGTGACATGACACAGATGTCACAAAACTTAGGGGAGATAAGCCTGCAGATCAAAATCAGTTGGCTGAAGCTGAACTAAAGAAGAAAGAGATGTTGCTTGTAGGAAGGAAGGAGAACTTCATGTAGTTAAGGCAGTGAACAAATCCTGCTTTCATCCTGGGCAAATGCTGTATAGTTTGGGGTCCAAGTGTAGCCCGTGTTGCCCCTGGATTCAGTATGGCTTGCAAATCTGGCTTGTATCTTTTTCAGTCTGCTCTGCTGTTATTTTTTTGTGGTAGAAGTGACTCATTTTACCTTTTGTGAGAGGCCACTAGAGACTTGTTCAGGTTAAAAAGAGACCAAAGAGTCAATCTTGTCAAATAAAGCAGAAACATATAGGAAATGTGGAAGGTGTAATTCCTTACAGACATACTTACTGTCAGTCCAGTTTTGTATGTCATTCTTGGTAAAAGAGGTGTCTGAATATAGATAGACAAGTAAGGATTAGCAGATGCAGTGCAGAAATGAACATGATCTGAAACTGTCTGGTTTTATAGCCTTGAGCAAATCATATAATCTCTCTGCTACTGTTTTCTGATCTATAATCCAAGGGCAGTAGTGCTTTCTTGCTTCTCAGTGGTGAATTAACAAATGCTTCCACAGTGTTTTACCGTGCCATGTAAAAATATTACAATTACAAGGAAGCAAGCAGCATATGATATTAATGTCAAGCAGATACAGGGTAAACTTGGGACACTGGATAGCAGCGCACTGAGATACAACTGTAATGAGTTCATTAGTAATGCACGACTGGATTGATTAAGTAGTTGCCACTGTGTAAAGCCTTGTCTAGAGCTGATAGTTGATATATTATTTTGACCTGCGACAGATGCTCAATGATCTTGTCTCTTAAGTTTTGGCAATGTCTGTCATGTCAATACAAATTATCGAGCCGAACTGCAAGAAAGAAGCTGTAGTTGCCACATGGATACCTTTTCTGTATTCTCCTATATATAAAAACTGCAGCTTCCCAAACTGGATTTTTTATATAACCTTTCAGAAGCTCAGTTTGAAATAGCTTGTCTTCTTTTTTTCTTTCTTCCTGAGAATGTTTCTTCTTGCCATCATGATAAAAATGTACTGCTGTGACAAAACAACCATGTCCCACAATTTATCCTTTCCTATCACAATGGCAGCACATCCTGTATGGTTATGTCACAGCACAGATATATCACCACATTGAGGTTACTTTTACATTGCCTGATACTGATAACTGTCATGTGAAGTGTTAGAAGATATAACATTTTTCTACACAAAAGAGTCACAGGAGGACTCAAACAGTCTTTGAGGATCTGGATATCCCACAGAGATTAGAGGTCTGGATGAGTCAGGGTAGTTGCATGCAGAAGCCTTTCAGCTCTAGGCTGGGGATGTGAAGGTGAACAGGATCTAGAAGAGGTTACCTATTCCTGCAGGTTTTGTTAGCTTATTTGAACTGGGATTCAACTGGGGATCCAGAGCCTTTTACTAGTAGGCTGATTATTACAGACTGGGAAGTTGGCACCAGCAGTGGTGGTAACTAATGTAGCACACCCCTCCATTCATCCAACCAGCCAGCCAGCCAGCCATCCGTCCATCCATTCACCCATTTTCCTTGCTGAAGTCTCTCTTCAGCCTTGTGTCCTTCCTAATTCCAAACTCCTTCTCATGGCTCCTGGGCTGTGCCTCGTGTGTGCTTTCACTGTCATTTTAGTGTGAGCTGAGGATTGCTAACCTCGTTTTAAGGCAGACTAACTGAGGCCTTCTGCAAATGGGAAGTGAGGCATAGCACTGTGAAATGATTTGCTAAAGGTTATCCAGCTGTGACTGAGAAAGTGCGCTCCCGTTCTGCCGCAAAAGATGCCACAAAAGTGTAAATGTTAATAGTAATAACTTTCTCTGTATGTGTTTCTGCTTTGCAAAATTATATCTCCACCAGGGGACTTGTTAATGTCAACGTCATTCAGTTTTCATGATCACCACTTGAAGTGATCAGTCAGCTGTGTGGATCTACAAATTGCTCCCTTGCAGCCAGCCTCTTAGTCTAATGCTCGGGTGACAGTCAGCTGTAAGGATCAGACTCGAAAAGATGCCTTTGATTTTCCTTTGATGTTTCTGAGCCAATGAAGAATTTCACACAGCCACTGGGTGGTAGGTGAAGATCCCTTCTGTTTGTGGGAAGCCAATTATAACGCAGCTGACCCGCTTTGACCTTAACATGACTGGCAGGACATCTGGGATGTCCTTGCGAGGCAGAGCTGGCTCACTGGATGTACCTAACTAAGGGCACAGACCGATTTGTTTGTCTGGATGCAGCAAACATTCCAATACTGTGATTATAATGGAGGCTGCACAAATTGATCCCGGTTGGACAGGGCGTGTTTATTTGCTTGCACTTCAGTATCATTGCCAACACGTGAGGATGAACAGAGTTCACCTTTAGGATTTAATGAAAATGAGTGGGAACAACTTACGAGAAGAACAGGTGCTAGTTTCTGAGCCTCTCTACCGGTTCACTCTTTCTCCTCTTTCATTATTTGTTGTGGTGAATAAGGGTATTCACCTCTTACTTCAGATGTGAGACCAGCTAAAGCTTTTAAAAACCTTGACAAACAAGCATCGAGAAGGAGGCTATTTGCCATAACGCTTTCTGGAGTAAGGCACACGCTGGGAGAGAAGGAGAGAGGCACAAAGAACTAACCCCGGAGGGGAGGCCAGTGGGACGTGAGAGAAGAGCTGCAACTTTTTAACCTCTGTTAGAACGAATTGGGCGGAGGTTGCTTTGCGATTGCCGGCAGTAGTTTGGCGGGTTGACGGAGGTGTTTGCCGCCACGCGCGGGCCCCCGTGCGAGCCGCACAGTGCTCGGGGGGGAGGGATGAGCATCCCGCGGGCCGGACGGCCGGACTACAGCCCCCGTCATGCCGCGGCGCGGGCGGGCGGTGGCGGCGGAGCGCGCGTGCGCCGCCAGACGTGCAGCAGCCGCAGCGGCGGCGGGTCCGGAGCGTGCGGGCGGCGCGGGATGGCACAGCCGGGGCAGGGCGCGGGCACTGCGCGGCGCCGCGGGCGCTCCCGCCGCTGCTGCTGCTGCTGCTCGGCCTGGCGGTGAGTGGCGCCGGGGGGCGGCGGGGCGGCGGCGGGGTGTCCCCCGTTCCCCGGGCCGGGGCGCGCGCGCGCCGGAGTTGGGCGAAAAGTTGGGGAGCGGACGGGCCCCCCCCGGCCGGCGCGGAGGCTGCGCCCGCCGCCGCACCCGCGCCGCCGCGGGCGAGCCGGCTGGGCTCGGCACAGCCCGGCATGGCCGGGCTCCGGCAGCGCTCCGCCCGGGTGTCTCCGCAGCCCTCAGCCCGCGTGCTGCGCTCCGCTTCCCCGTCTCCCTTTCCCTCCGTCTCCCAAAAAAGCCGCCCGGAGGAAGCGCACCCGGCGCGCACCGCGGCGCTGGGCGGGCCCCCCCGCCCCCGCCGGGGGGCTCCGGACGGCGGGCGCTCGCTCCAAGTTTCGCGTGGAAGGCTTGTGCGGCGGCAGAGGGTTTCCAGAGGGTTTCCCGAGGGTTTCCCGGCGGCGGCTGTGCCGCAGCGGAGCCGCCTCGCTCGGCTTTGTGCACCTGTGCGCCCCCCGCCCCCGGCACCCCCCGCCCCTGCGCCCCTCGCATGTGGCGCTCTCCATCTCGGCGCATTCCGGAGGACCGGGCTATGTTCCATTGACATTACACTAAGTAGAGCACTGCTTACCTCAGGGAGGCTTCTCGACTTCCAGAAATATTTTAAAGTCTCAGTTTTTATTTTTTTTTTTAATCCACAGAATTTAGCATAAATAGCTCAAAAGATTGGCGAAGCCGTGCTTTAAAGCACTGCTTTATTCACATTATTGTCATGGACTACAGTTCATCCTTCTGCCTGGACAAATGGAGTTAATAATTAATGAAAAATTACGATAATTTTTTTTTACACGCAACTGATTTGAAATGTATTTGGAAATGCATGACCGAGGAGTGCTCATCTAATTCATACAAATCAAGTGTGGAATTGCTAATTGCCCTATGCTTATTCTGTACTAATATTAGAATTGCCATTGTGGGACAGAAAGTATCAGCCCTGGCTGATGTAGCCTTTTGCCCCTGTCAGGGGCATAGCTGTCGGCTCCTTCAGGAGGAGGGAAAAGAAATGCTGTGCATCCTGAACAATTTTTGTTTTGTTTTAAGCTTCATCTAGAAGCACAGACCTCTGCTATATGCACATTATTGATTTTAAGTGAAACTGAAGTCAGGCTGAACTCTCCCTAAAATGTTGGAGAGGTCTTAGTGTAGCTTTTTTCCCCCATGGCTCATCGTTAATATACACAGTACTTTTCTCAATGATACTTGTGGCAGTGCATTCCTCAGATTAAGTATATACTGTGGACCAAGCAGAGTTACAACTAGATTGAATTTTCCCTTCATTCAAAATAACTAAACACATGGAGTTATTTCTGGTATTTCCTACTATAGCCTCTGTGACTGTCAGACCTTATCTTACTGTAGCATTCATTTTATGTTAATGTAAATATTTTTCTGGAACTTCTTTTTGTAGATTAAAAGATTTTTTTTTCCCCCCAGCTTTCTTCATACAAATCTGTTGTTCCTAACTATTCCAGTTGCCCTCTTTGGACCTGTCATGTTGCAGAGCTGGTATCTTTGAGATGAGCAGAGCGGGCCTGCCGTTGTCAGTGAAATTATACAAAGCCATTTTAATTTATCCACGTTATTCTCTCTTACCTTTCTTAATTTGCCACAGCATTTTATTTGCTCTGTGATGCTGCATGCTGAGCAGATGTCTTCATTGAGCTGTTGATTCAGCTAATTCTTTCCCCTTTGCTGTGTACAAGTAGTTTAAATTATTTCTTCCAATTTGCATTATCTTGCACTTGAAGGTGTGATTTTTCATCTTGAAATATGTAACTCGCTGTACTCCAGGATTGAAAAACTAGCCTACAGCTGTGACATTGCAAAAGCTGCTTTTAAATTTTTCTTGAGTCAATGTTTAAAAAGTCATAGAGGCTGTTAAATGAGGACATTTTCAGTGTGTAAAGTTAAAGTGAAGGTAATGCCAGCTGCTTGGTAGGTCAGTGAGAACATTCTTTCCTTCCAGCCGGTCCTTTTTCATGCACCCAAATGTGTTTTGTTTTTTGTTTGTTTGGGTTTTTTTCTGGAAGTGCTGAATACTTGCAGTGTACCTGAGACAGCAGCTAGAGTTGTGGAAGCATAGCACTCCTGAAAAATAGGGCTCATTTTTTGAAGCAAAATTGGAGGTAGCTTCGAAGAATTGAAATCCTTATCTCTGTAAGACTTCCTGCATATGGAAAAGGAAACCTACAAGGCTGGATGAAGAAAACATTTCAGTATCTTCTAATGGAAGATGTTTATTTGTTATCTTTAGCATCACTGTGGATATGTGACACACACGAGGAAGAGGCTGCAGTGATCTCTGCCTGCTGTAACGTCTTATTTCTTGAATGAATTGGAGAGTCACAAGGAAGTTGAAGGTTAACTTTACAGATACTTCCTTGTTTGGTATATCAAGTGGTTGACTGTATTTCATGCTCAAAGGACTGAATTTACTGTTCAAGGCATTGTGAAGGAGTTTTATGCCATGGCGGATTTGCATTTCCTCTGATATATCAGGTACTGTCCTTTCCCTAGCAGAAAGCAGCCCCTGCTTCCATCAGGATCATGCATCTAGGGTACGTTTGCTTTGCAAACACCGGTGAATGTTATCTCGTGCCAGCGTGGCAAAGATCAGTTTGTCTTCCGAGTGTTGGCTTAATGACAGAGAAACTGAGTCAAGAGTCTGACCGACAGCCTTTGGGAAGCAGGCTTCTTGACCTGCTGCCAGTCAAACCCAGTGCCTCCAAAGAAGGGCTTGGAGGGAACATTTGAGGCTTCCAGCTCCTCAAGTACTTCCTCTCTCCTTGCCAGTAAGGTACAGGAATGCAGTGGTGAGCACTGACACTGACTTGTGACCCCAGGCCTGCAGGGAGAGCTGAGGCACGATTCACTCTGTGTTGCAGGTGGCTCTGCAGCGTGGCAGCAGTGGCTTTGCCTCCAGTGGGTTTGCAGGCAGGGCGTGAACACTGCTTCTCCACTGCAGTGCTCAGGTGTTGTTTCCCATGGTGGCTTTTGGGCTTGAATTCAGGAGTGTCTCTTCCTATCCAGTTACTGCTTGAACCACAGGAGCCTCTTTGGAAAGTGTTTTGTGGCAGTCAGAGGAAGGGTATTGCAGAGACAAATCCCTTACTTGCTGTCTTCTTGCCCCATCCTACTTTGTCTGTTCCTTCTTCAAAATACTAATTTGTAAAACGGTGACATGGGATATACTCTGTCTCCTCAGATGCCCTTCCCAAATTAAACATTGGCTTTGTTACTCAACTCCATACCTTATGGAGTGATGTTTTCAATCCATTGACTTTGGTGCCAAAGTGCCTGTTTACTTCAGAGGCCCTGGGATATTGCCACAAGGGTGGTATGGTCATCAAAAATGGTCTTTCTGCCCAGCAGTGAGTTCATGGTGTCACAAGCAATTGGTGATGGAAGAGGTGCTTGTTCTATTGTTGACCATTTCTTTTGCTTTTTGGTGATGCAGTTCCTCTGTTTCAGTAAAACAGAGGTAGTGTGGCCTTTCTTCAAAGTTGTAGTTGGAGGTCTGAATGGAGAAGCTTGGTGATTCTGGTTCCAAATTACATTACACAAACTAGCATTGCCTTAAATTTCTTCGTGCAGACAGGGTCACTTTGGAAGTAAGTTATTGTTTATCTTGATTCTACCACTTTTTCAAGCTTGTGAATGGCAAAAAGTTGTGATGACAGAGAAGGTGTTTAGTTTTGGCATTGTGCTAGCTGGTAGCATTGGTGGAGGGTGCTGTGACTTGTACACTGCAGAACACAGATAACAAAGGTAATCTCATTTGTGACTGCCTTGATGATGTCCTGTCTGTTGTCTGTGGGTTTAGAGTCATGCAGCCTGTTTGCTGGGTGACTGCAGATAGACTCTTTCTCTCCCCCTCCTCACTTTTGCAGGATATGGCACTCCATGACTGTGTGGTTGTGAGCTGCTCTAGGATCAGCTGTGTGCCAGTTTGTTCTAATGCTGCCTCCCTTTTGCCTCTTGCAGATCACTTCCTTTCTGTGTGAATCTCGCTCCAACTATTAAAATTAAGCTTCGTCTCCTAGCACCTGGCAGAAAAATGTGAGGATTAATTAGGTAACATTCGTGCAATGCTTTGAAGATAACAAGTGCCATATAAAATGCTAGGGATTTTCAGGTGGCATTTTTTGCCCTCTCTTCCTTATAAGTCCCATTAATAGTGTTTTTGTCTTCTTTTTATAGTACCTCCTACGTGCTTCTTGAGTAGGTGGTACTTCTTTAAACTTCTTGAAAACCTAATTTTTTAGTGGGGGATTATGTAGCATATGCTTTGCTCGTGCCCTTAACTTTTGCAGTCAAATGTGCTCATTCAGAAGTGATATCTGAAACATTATTTCATCAACAGCTTGTTTAATATATATATATATATTGCGCCAGTGCCTGGCTTGAAGAGAGAGCTTCACATTCATAATAAGGAGAAAGTTCTTTGTCAGCATTAGTAATTGACCCTATTACAGTCAGTTGTTACTTAGTAAATAGTTGCACGGGTTTTCCTTCACAGAGCATTTGAAACCCAGTGATAAACCATACAATTAATTTGCTACACAGAGCTCTTAAGAACATCCTTTAGTATAGACTATTATGCCCGTAGCTTAAAAGCCAGTGTTTAAGAACAATATGAACGGTAGAGTCTAGTCAAATCTTGACGTCTCCATGGTATTTTTCACTATCTTCTATATTTGGAAAGTGAACATAGCAGGCACCATGTTAAGTGGAATGCCTTATTTGTAGCAGTCTTCAGCCTAAGAGTACCAAGACACTGTTTCAGGAATTTAATTTGCCTTTCTTTGAAAACAAAAGAAAATATGGCACTTGGCTCTTGGAGATATGACCCCCCACAACAAAATGTCAGTAGTGCTTCAGGTTTTTTGTTCCTGGAATGGCTTGAGGTGAGAATTAACTGATCTGGGTTATGTACAGAATAGGACTG